AAAGGACACCCCCCCCCCCACTACCCATCATGGAGGGAGATGTGAAGACCATTGAGTGAAAATATCCCCAATGTTGTGAAGGGCAAACTACAGCATTCTTATTGCCCCTGGGCCCTGAGCTAGCAGCTCTGTGACCTTGGCCCAGGCCCTTGACACCCCTCAAGTTCATCATCACAAAGAGAAGGAAGCAGCAACCACCCTCCCAGGGTACAGGACCTGTGAGGATTCCCGTGGCATTTCCTACTAAGGGAAGCCTGAGTGCTCCCACGGGAGCAGTGACCCCTAAGGTCACTCCCAGCGACCTTCCCATCACAATAAACAAGAGTCTTCACCAGCACCGTATTCTCAGAAGACAGATGGAAGTTGTTGAAGCCTCCTCAAAGCCTAGCATCTCTGCAGTCTATTTCTAGAAACAACTCAGAACAATCAGAAAAAACAGTCTCAGAAATTGTCCACTTTTCTGTCCTAGGAAACCATGGACTTTGTTTTGTGTTTTGGAACGCATACCAAGCCTTCAGGTTAAGAAAATTCTTCCCAGTTAATGCCAAACGAATTATTTGTGCTTTTCCTGTCTCCTCTTGGGAAACGCTGTATGAGCCTGTGGTTTGTTAGGCCAATAACAGGATACTTGATAGTCCCCGGGGAGTTAGAGTCCCATATTTAGCCTGACAGAGGAAGTGAAGTCTGATGATGAAAATAATTGAGCATTTCTTTAATGCTCCTATTTCATCTCTTCCCTCCTCCCTCAGAAGCCTGACTTCACTTATGCTTGCTGAGGCTTTCAGTGCTATTTGCAGTCCTCAGAAAATGGCCTTTTCTAGTTGTGAAAGGAAATTTACCTCTTACAGCTCTTAAGTCCTCCAACAGAAAGCTGTTGGGTCTGATTGGAGCACAAAGAGAAAAGCAAAAACTCAGATTCACATCTAGTGGGATAGCTGCTATCACAAAAATAAGAACAGAATTACCAGTGTCAGTGAGGATGTGGGGAAATTGGAACCCTTGGGCACCGTTGGTGGCATCGTAGAATGGTATGGCCACCGCGGAAAACGGTATGGTGATCCACCCAAAGATTAAACACAGAGGTGCCATGTGATCCAGCAAGTCCATTTCTGGGTGTACACCCAAAAGAATTGAAAGCAAGAGCTTGAAGAGATACGGGCACACATGTGTTCACAGTCACAGCAGCATGATTGGCAATGGCCAGCAGGTGGAAGCAACCCACGTGCCCGGCAGAGGAGTGCATAAGCCAAAAGGTGGTATAGACATACGGTGGAATATCACTCCGCCTTTGAAAGGAAGGACATTCTGGCACATGCCACATGGGTGAACCTTGGGGACATTATGCTAAGTGAGATAAGCCTGTCCCGAAAAGACAGATACTATGACTGCACTTACATGAGGCAAATTCATAGAGACGGAAAGTAGAATGGTGGTGACCAGTGACTAGGGGGAGAAGAAAATGGGAGTTGCGGTTTAGTGGGTGCAGAGGTTCAGAGTTTCAGTTTTTCAGGATGAAAAGGGATCTGCAGATAGAAGGTGTGGATGGTTTGCCCGACAGTGTATATCACTAAAGCCACTGAATTGTTCACTTAAAAAACGGTCAAAATGATAAAATTTATGTTATATATATTTTACCACAATTAAAACCACACACACTTGTAGAACTCAGTCATTGCTTCTGGCCTTCACAGTGACTAAATCACTTGACCATGTCAAAACGTGCAGTGCTGTCCAATAGAACCTTCTGTGTATTGGAATGTTCCGGACTTGCACCGTCCAGTATGGCAGACACTAGCCCGGTGTTGGCCTTTGAGCGTTTGAAATGGGACTAGTGCCACGGAGGCACTGAATTTTCTTTTTTTCAATTCAAGTATATACAGCCACACGTGGCTAGTGGCGACCACACTGGAGAGTGCAGGTGGAATGTACACCCATATTACTGTTTATGCCAAAATACTCTTCCTTCCCAGCACAAGCTTTAGCAGTCAGACTCTAAAGATAAGGGACCAGCTTGGGTGGGGGGCCAAGTTCTCTTGTAACCTCCAGTGTTAGTTTTGTACAAAGCCCTTTGCCAAGAATGTGCTTCTGTATTTTAGCATCTTGGTTTGGCATTCCTTAGCACAGTTATTGGACCCAAGGACAGAGTTGGCCTTAATTCGCAGGCCAGCCTTTTCTATTAAAATGTCCTCTGGAGGCCCAAATTCCCTCACTGCCATGTACAATCTTCCTTTACTTTTCCCTGTAGATCCATGATGATGTTATGAACTAAAGCTGAGGTTCAAGCCCTTAGACAGAAATTATGTAAGCACATCGCTGCCTCCTGTGGGTACCCGGGCAATCAGCACATGGCTTACTTTTTAAGGCTTTGCTGGAAAATAACGGACAGTAAGATATGTAACAAACTCTTAGAATGAAATAGTACCACACAATAAAATTGATGGGCCCCTAAAGCATTCATCATGTAGAATGGGAATTCTAAATATGTCATCTTGTTTTGTGCAATTGCTTATAGAAATTGTTAAGACTGCCAGTGATTGAAAAGCGGCTTATATTCAAACCTACTGCAAATAGAAGGCTTAGCAAGTCAATCAGTGGGCAGCATTCCTGCGTGACAACCCAGTGTTTAATGACACTCCGGATGCCACATTTATCTTCATGGAAAGAGTGAAAGCTGTTTATTAAAGAATAAAAAATGAGCAGATCCTGGCCACGTAGCTCAGTTGGTTAGAGCATCCTCCCAATACACCAGTGTTGTGGGTTCGACCCCCGATCAGGACACATACAAGAATCAACCAATGAATGCATTAAAAATAAGTGAAACAACAAATAGATGCTTCTCTCTCTCTTTTTCTCTCCCTCCCTCTCTCTCTAAAAATCAATAAATAAACATTTTTTTTAAAAGAATAAAAAACGAGCATGCAAAATGAAGATGGCTGTGTAGCAGGAAGGGGATCAGAGTTTATGTTATTACTACACAAAACAGATTTGGGCTATCTGATCAAAACCATGCTTAACTCCCGCAGATTTTCTCACCACGAACACTTTTTCTTTTCTTTCAGCAATGGGTAGACGGCCTGAGATCAATCATACACAACTTCAGGGCCAACAACGTCAGTCCGATGACCTGCCTCAAGAAACAGTGAGTTTCGTTTGCCTCACCCTTGGTTCTTGGCTGTTATCAAGCAAAGGGTCAGAGTAGAAAGGGAGGCTTAGTATGTGGCCAGGCACCGTCCTGCTCGCCTGCCCCTCCATGCTCCTGACCTTGGAGAGCAAGTTGACCAACACCCCCCTATACCCTTCATGCCACCCGGCAGGGCATTCCTGATAAGCCCACACCCCCAGAACTATGTGAAAGGAATGGTTGATGGCAGAAAGATGCTGGAACCTCAGCCCCCGAGTGTCCTCTGCATTGTGGGCACCAGCTTCTGTGTCCCCAGAATGAGTCTGCTGACACAGCTCCCCGAGCCTGGGGCCATCACTGGGTGCTGCTGTAGCTGGGGCCTCTGTTGCATGAGACTGAGAATTGGGGAGTGTGGCCAAGAGAAGCAGCCGCCAGAGCACCCATAGCTGGGGTGAAAAAGAGAGCACTGAGCCCAAGGACTGGGTAGCACACAATCAGGGGTCAAGAAAGCAGGCCTTGCCCCAACTCACTGTATCCAAACTTCAGAGGGGTACTAAGTGGTAGATTTTAACAAATAACTTTCTAAGTTTAAGTATGTCCTGTGCATATCTGGACAATACTTATCGTGAAAAACTATTTGTTGTGTATCTGAAATTCACATTTAACTGACAGTCCTGTATGTTTATTTGTTAAATCGACAACTGTAAATCCATGGCACAGTGCATGAGTGTCTCTGGTTTTCAGACTAAGTGTTCTTTGTTTGAATAAACGATCTTGTAAAGTGTTTTTATCCTGATTGAAGCTGTTCCTCCTAAAAACAGTAAGACAGTGTTGTCCTATTGTCTTCCAGCTGGATGAAATTGGCCTTTATGACCAACACAAATGGTAAAATCCCAGTGCGGAGGTAAGTCTCTCATTTCTGCATGTTCTTCGTACCCCGTGTCTGCCCTCATCACAGCAGCGCAGAGAGAAGGCCTCCTCAAGTCCCTGTTAGCTACTTCCACTCAAAAAACCCTGGAGGCTGAGCTTGACTCAGGTCAGCAAACACCATGTTCAGTTTGTAAAAATTACTTACGGACAAAAAGTGGCATTTTTCCTCAGAATAGATGGCAGCATCTACTGTACTTTGATAAGTTAAAGAACATCTGAAAATGAAACATTATTTTTAAAAATCTTCAAATAGGTAGGTTTTTAAGATTTCAGTGACTTTTACCTGTGTGCCCTCAGCAATCATTGGCAAAAATTAAAACAGTTTTGATTGTGCACCTGCAGCGGGAGTGTACGGATTATGTCTCAGGAAGGGTGATGCCTCCGGACAGCCTCTCATTCTAGGCTTTGCTGGCCCTCTGCTGCCCAGGGCAGGTGGGCACCTCTGTCGTCTTGCCACTTGCTCTCTAGATAGACTGTCACACACTCTTCAGAGCTGTTGACCCCTCACCTTGCCCAAGGTAACGGGACACAGGAAATCAGGAGTGAGAATGTGACCCAGCTGCCTCCTCCCCATGTGTTCTTTAATGCCGACGTGTTGGCCCCAGTCCCCACATTTTCCATTTTCCTGCTTTCCCCCCCTTTCAGGTCTTAGTGTTTGCTAATAGTTTGTGGGCACAGTTGGAAGCTCCTACGATGGTAGGGATGGAAATTCTCTATCAAAGTCTTGAGTATCGTTTTGGTTGGTGTTTGTGTAAGCACTTCATGGAAATTCCAAGAGTTGGACTGGCCCCCAGAGCATCTGCTGTGCACATGAGGCCAGGAGTGTGTTTGGATTCATGAACCTAAGCCCTCAACCTTAATCAAAAACGGGTTCCCCAGATATCAACCTGCTCTTCTAGGAATTGCCGGACTCAGGTTTATATAGACTTCTTTTCTGGACACCACTTTAGCAAAGAAGCTAACCAACAAACAAATAACCAAATAAAACCCAGAATTACAGGGGAGTCACCACTGGCACAGCATTTGAGTTAGACGCACTTCAGCAGGGGCATGCTGACCACACTCGGCCATTTCTGACTCTTCCAGGCCTCCCTCTCTGCCCCGCCACTTGGTTCTGCTCTGAAGCCTCCATTCTGCATCCCTGTGAGAGTATCTTCAAAGTCCCTCAACATATTCCTTTCAGATTTAACAGAATTGTCCTGGAAGTCATCGTTTTTCTTAATTTCATGTATTATAACAGTCATGAACTAAAGTATCCATGTGACACAACTGAAATACCAATGAGAAAATGAAAAGAATACTTAACCTTTTATTGAGGGTTTACAGGCTTATATGCCTTAACATTTGTTGTGGTCCCTACAGATCTATATATAGGACCCTCTGCCTTTTATTTAATAATTTACTAGCATAAAATGATGCCTCCTTTACTGTTTGTAAAAAGCCCTGCGAGCATCCTTGACTGATTGTTGTTGGCAAAGACACTGTACACCGACCCTTTTTTTACTTGAAACTCTTTGTTCTGTTGAGCAATAGCAGGATAATTATTTTAATACATCCCAGCATCCTACAGCTACTTGCAAATATGTAGAGCATTTTTATTTAAAATCCATGTGGAAGTAGTAAGTCCAAACTTAGAGAACACAGATGGCACTGTAAAGAAAAAAAACGTAAGGTGGATCGGTTTTTACATTTCTTACTCTCCTGCATTCCCTTCCCAGGTAAGGTTCAGGAAATGGACAGAGTATAAAACACATGCATTGTGATCAGAGCACTTGTAACTTGCAGTTCTGGCTTCGTTTGCACATATCCTATCATCTCATCGCTCTTATATAACCTTGGAAGCTTTTTCTGATTCCAAAGATCTTTATCAAGTATGTTCACATACAAAATTATTGCCTTTTTAGTAGAAACGGCCTAGATATTTTGTCATCTTCTGTAGCTCTCTTGGACATGAACCCTTTGCTGCCTGCCAGTATTAACAGGTGTTTGACACGAGACATCTGTGATTCGGGGGCAGTTTGTTGGAGTTGATGGAGAATTGATACCACGCCAGAAAAAGGCGGATAAATCTCCTGGTGGATGAGCTGCCAAGGGCTAGGTGGAAATTGTTCTGAATGTTTTAATGGATATGAAAAGTAAACACTTTTAAAATGTCGTTTCATCACTATCATTCTGCAGTTTTTAAAATGGAAACTATTAGTAGATTAGTATGTGTGCACCATGTTACGGGGAGCTGACTTCATAGCCACTACGTAGCTTGGGAATGGCCCCTGCTCTTTAGCATTAATCAAAATGTAATAGCCAGGAAGTTTCAGAGATGGTGAATGGAGAAAGCCTTACCCTTTATCTCTCTCTTTTCTTTCTGTGTACATAATCTCATGCAGTCTGCCTTTCTGTCAAACTTACAAACTCACTCAGTTTATCTTCCCACTCAGACCAAAGCTTTGGATGAGTCACTCTTTCATTTGCCATCTCCCATTCCTTATAACCTGGAGTTGGAAGCGATGACTGGAGCATTGGGAAATGGGAGCTAGACACTAGCTGTGGGCTTTGGCCAGAGGAAATCTGGAAGGGGACAGTTTTGTTAAAGAAGGCTGAGAACTCAGGTGTGGTCATGGCAGCCCAATGGCTACATAATCCACCTATGTCCCAAAGGCCCAGCCTGCCCACTAGGAAGGTCTGGTTCTGCTAGGGCTTCACTTCACGAGGCCCCCCCCCCCC